GTGTGGAGAGAAAAACTCAGAATGCTGCAGACAACAAATGACAGAAAACCAAGTCTACAAGGGCCTGACATTCCAAAGACACTGACGTTTGATTGACAGCTGTCTTTTGGGGAAATCACAGTGCACAAAAACAGAAATGCACAAGGAAATCTCGACACGCAAAACAAGAGCTGCGAAGACAAATTCTAGCAATTCCCTTTTCCCTGTCTGCAGCTTCCAGCTTTGCAAACGGAACTTCAACTGAAGCTTTGTTTTCATCTTGTGCAGACCATTCCCACAGTCAGCAAGTGAGGTAATCCGATGCCAAGCAGTCACATGGGTGGGCACGGTCTCTTTGCTCTCACAGCCGGAAGAGGAACGCACAGGAAATTCTTTACATTCCTGACAGGAAGAGATAATAACCCTCTGACCCACAGTGTGGAAAAATGCCCATCTGCAAAGAACACAGACCCCCCAGCTTCATTACAGGGGTCAGAACTGGCTGTGGTCTGTGTGTTTGTGAGGGGAGAGTGGCGAGAAGGAAATGGGGGAAAAGTTAAAGAAGAGAGGGATACAGAAACAGAGAGAGGGAAGGGCCGGGTTAAGCGTCAAACGCCCGCTCAGTTGTTGCTTTAATAATTAAGTTAGTCAGTTCGCTGTGAGCAAACAAAGGAATTGAGGGTGATAAACAACAAGGTCACAAATCTGTTTGCGGTTTTGTTCCGAAAGCTGATACGAAAGAGGAAAAATGAGAAAGAGATTAACTGTATACCCCCTTTACACTGTATCATTTTACTCAAACAATCTGTGTTGTCGTAGTGAAGCCAATTGCTTAAGTCTTCCTTCCGGCTAGTTCCTTACCTAATCAGCCAGATGAGTAGTGAAGATCCATACCTTACATCATGGGTTTTTTAATGTTTGCATATTCAGTGTGCAGCTCACGTTGTCTGTCTCAGGTCTGTTAGGATGATGTAAACCAGAAGACATCAGAGAGCCAAGACAGCCGACTGATGAAGACATAAATGACTGTTGATTGTCTAGTGAACTATTCCTGTCATCTGTAGAAACACATTTTTCATGTCTGCACCTGCTAATCCATCCTAAATACATACTAAACAAAGCAATACAATCCATACTTTAATATATATATTTACTGTATTGAAGTACTCAGTCTTCTTATCTCATCATATTCAATTCAAAGCTCAAGTCAAATATATTTTATTTTACCATGGCTGAATAGAAGTGCAGAAGTCTATCAGTAACAGTCTGTTGTTTTTGATAACGAAACAAATGCCGCTTCTTACTGTGATGTCAAGTAAGCACTTGTTCGAAGCCTTGGAAATGATTAGCATCAAAGTACTTGTCATTTTGCTTTGGAGATAACTATCATTTACATTGGATAGCTTTGTGAGGGCAAAGAGAATAGCAGTGTGCAAGCACACACATGATGTACTGACTCAAAGCATCACCTTGAGGCAGGGAGCTCCTTATACTCAACCTCAGGATGGACCAGGAGTGAAAATAAACATATATGAAGACTGGGTACAGCAGAACTACATTGCAATGTTTCACTCCACTGCCTTAAACAATGTCTTAACAAGAGCACCAAGCGAGAGGACTAAAAGAAGAATGATCTGTCAGGAAACTATTCATTACAATGCATTGAGCGAGACAAGGAAAGAGAGAAATGCTAGCGTTTGAAGTCTGATTATAAGGCTGAGACACATTTAAACACTCCAATGGTCTTTTAAGCAATGTGACAATATTAAAAACAAGCAAAAAATGTGTTGACAGATAAATGTTTACAATGGAAGTCTATGGCGGTGGTTTTCAAACCTTGGGTCGTGAAACATAAAAAATCAAATGGGTCACCAGTATGATTTAAGGAAAATGTATATATGTATGTAAGCTATCAAAATAAAAATTAAATTTATATATATAAAAAAAAAAATGAAGTTGGCCACTGAAAACATTGGAATTTTTTTCTTTGTACTTTAGTCAATTAAATAAAGGTTAAAGAGAATGAACAAATCACATATTCTTGATTTTATGGCATTTCACAAAAAGTCCCAACTTTTCTGGAATTGGGGTTATATATATATATATATATATATATATATGGGTCGCATCAATTAAAAAAAATAATAAAAATAGGGTCGCTCTTAAAAAAAGTTTGAAAACCAATGGTCTATGGCAACATATCAGCCCACAGACTTCCATTGCAAGTGGTTTTGTGTCAACATTTTCCCTAATATGGTTTTACAAACTAATGGAAAAGTCTACATTTTTCTGTTCTGCATTTTTTCAGTCTACATTTTTCTAATCAAATGTATGCACACAAAGTCAGCTATACATAAAGTTTATGAGAATTAAGGCAGACAGAAAGACTTTAGAAAAGTAGCTTCTTTTCAGAAGATGATAGACAAGAACCTATCAAACATTGCACATTTACAGTGATCTCAATGTTGGTGATGTGAATTCATCATAACAAACAACAATCACAGCCTTCTGCCTCTTTCATGTAAGACAACATTCCTTGGTGTGTATTTCACCCTGGCTTAATACAGTGTTACGTAACACATGTGGTGCAGCAAAAGCAATATCACAGTTTAGTGGTGAGCCTCATATAAAGAGAATTAAAAACTCATCCCGCCAAAAGTACATACTGTAACAAGCATCGTTCCCATAATACAGTGCCATTTGAAGCCTGTAACTTACAAAACAAAATAAAGGTGTTGTGATGTATAAGCAGATTTGAAGAATTATGAAATAAGATCTCATCAATCTCAGGCACTTAAAACTGTTTATTATAACTTGATTATTTACACAACGGCAAGAAAATAAACAGAAAAAAATCTACTCATACCAATTTAAAGTACTTATAAAGATAAACCAATATTACAATTCTGGTCAATACAGATAAACCAAATAATTATTTAAATGTTATGATTGAAAATTTATAAATACCATTTTATATGAATAAAAAAAATAAAAAAATAAATGCTAGAAAATAAATTTAGGCTTTACAGCATTATTACTGTATGTACAGTATAAAATATTTAATATTCAATAAATATTACATTTAGCAGTTTTATTACATTATTAGTGTTTTCAAAACTTTAAATAAGCATTAAAGGACGTCACTGGTAATCTAAATGTAAAAATAGCATTAATAAATGAGCTTGCATAATTACAAATGTATTCAATGTAAATGTAAATCGAAACTGATATATGATATTTTAAATAAAAATCTGATAAAAATAAGGTACTGATATATTGCGCATTCCTAGAAATTAGCTTTAAAATCATTTATTTTGCTTATTAAAAATAACCCCTATGTGCACCAGTGTTACTTCAGCATCAATTATATACTATTATAGCTTTTGTTAATATTTTTCATTAGATTTTACTTTCATATTTTCTGTTTTCATTTTAATTTTAGGTAAAGTTTTAGTCTTTTTGTTGTGTGTTTGTCATTTTTATTTTTATTTTATATAGTTTATGGTGTTTAGTTTATTTTAGTACTTCAACTTAAACTAAATGAAAATGAGAAATGCTGCCTTGGCAATGAGCTGAAATACCATTTTATATTTTATTTCAGTTAACATTTCTTTTATTTCAAATTATGTATTTTTTTATGGTTTTAATTTTAGTTGACAATCATAAATGTGCACTTCATTGACATACAGTGATAAAAATAACTAATTGAATTTCCATTGTTTAAAAACTGTACTTTCAATATTACATCTGATATATTAGGACATGTATGGTGGGAACATGTAAATGTACTGCTTGTACCCACACCAAACCATAAAGCGAAGAATCTGAACTTTTCCCCAAACTGCTCAGTAGTGACGGTATCGGTGTGGATAAAGACCTCATCTCTTATGCGAGTTTGCCATGTACCACATTGTTGACAAGACCACTGCGGACCCCGCGGCCACATTACTGCAGCTGAAGAAATGAAGGATGTGACCGGCACAGTGGAATTAGTCGCTGAAAATAATAAGAGAGATGTGACTATTCAACCCTGTTACACAACACGTCCCACATTGTTTTGGAAAAGCAGAGGCAGAGCAGATGAGGTGGGAAGGAGAAAAAAGACTGGAGATAGCAGATGTAGGACTACTGCACACAATATGTTTAGCGCTCTGTCTCTGTGTCATACTGATTCTGACATTAGCATCTGATCCAGGCAAAGTCTCTCGGGACTGTTGCAAAAAGGGCACGCTGGTGAAAAATGACAGTCTGACAAAGAGACGTGTGCCTGTAAGCTGATATTTATGCAAATAAAAGTGCTTGGATCGACGGGTGGATTCCCCATGACTGGAATACAGATTGTCATATCTAAATTTGGTGAGGCGTCCCTATTATTGAAGTCGGAGAATATCAGTGGTCATATGCAGGTTAGTGGAGTGGTTCCCGTCTGCTGAAAGCAGGTAATCATGCCATTTCTATACACAAACATTCCCCTACAGCACTACTGCTCCACTTTATACATCTCTCAGGAGACAAGCTCACGGTTAAATGTAGTTCACCCTTCACTTTGTAGACTCAACAGACACTCTCTCAGATTTCATTCAGACTGGCATTGTTTTACTGACCTAGACTTTAAATATTCTATTCTGAATTGTCCTTTCACAGAGAAAATGGGAATTTTCTCTGTGAAAACGAAATTAAGGAGCATGATAATTAAGACATTACATTTAGGAAAAACATAAAAAATTGGTAGATTAGTGAGAGATGTGGCCAAGCACGTAGTGCACATGTTGGTATTTAATAGCAGGTGATCTGGATTTTAAATTTTCAATCCCACCCTCCCATCATGTTTTCATGTTTCAGTCTCTGTCAATGAAAACCTCCCAAATCCTCGATTTTTACATCTTCTTACGAAAACATGAGTGGGCTTGACCATACAAAACCTGCTGCCACATTGTTAGTGTGTTATGGATGGTTGCCAGGGTGTTGCTATGCAGTTGCTAAGGCATTCTGAGAGGTTTTAGAGCATTGCTGTGATTTCTATGTCTGGGAAGTTGCTTACGGGCAGGGTGCGAATTACAGTGACCATCGGGGGGGTCAGAAGATTTGTGTCAAGGTCTGTGTCCAGCCACAGGACCCACCACAGAAGTAGGTCCCATTCATATAGCCGGTCCAGAAGCTACACCTACTCTTCCAGGTTGGTTACAACAGACAATGTTTTATGTCTTCGTATGTCCAATCTTTCATGTCAAGTTAATTTTGTATGTTTTAATTGTTCACACAGGAGCTACAGTAGAAGTAGAAGCAGGAGTAGATACAGCAGAGGACACTCCCGTTCCCGAAGTAGCACCTACCGAAGTTACCGTAGGTAAGTGTTGAAAGATATTTATCTTTGATATGTGTGTTATGGGGATTAAAATGTTTTTAAATTAAGATGCCACGGTGATCTTGTTTTAGCCACACAGACCGTAGAAGTCGTTCTAGAAGTCGGTACAGAGGTCACCACAGATCAAGGTGAGCATGGAGCCAAAATTATTCATGCATTTTGACTGCAACCTAGTGTCGCTTTATTATTCTTAGTTATGTCTTTTGTTCCTGGAAATACAGGTCTGACTCTTACGATAGTTCTTCTAGCCGTAGCAGGAGAAGAGGGCATCGAAGAAGTGAGAGCTCTGACCGCATGTCCAGGTACATCATAAATAAATCCATGTATTATTGAAACCGTCTTGTTTGAATTTGATAATGTGCCTCACTGAAGCTAATTCTTTGATGTGTGTCTTCACGTTCAGGTCATATCGCTCCTACAGTCGCAGTTCCTCTAGGAGGCGAAGTCATAGCCGAAGCAGTCGATACAGCTGAGCTGATTTTAAGATGTAGCATTAAGTCTCCTCCTCCTCCATATGGTTTTCTAAACGAATGGCTCCGTTTAAGTTTGGTGAAGTATGTACTTTGATGTACACTGTATAATCATTTAATGTGTAATTCACACACATTCTGCTGTATTTTTTCCAAATGTGTCTATGTATGAATGTACATTTGAAACAAAATTAGTCACTTCTTTATTCTAGTACACTTTTTTTTTTAGTATCCCTAAGAAAAGGAGCATAGCCTTTGATTATGAAAATAAATAAGCAGCAAGATCAACTGGAGGGAAAGGCCCAGGGTCTCAAGATTGAGATCAAGAGCAAGAGCAGAGTCCGTCCAGGATCCTTATTTGATGAGGTACGAAAGACAGCTCGGTTAAATCAGAGACCCAGAAATCAAGACAGCTCAAGTGAAGAAGACTCTCTTCCAGCAACAGGAGAAAGGGCTGGATCCCATAATCACTCTCGGAACAAGTCAAGGTCTGTGTCCAGCCACAGGACCCACCACAGAAGTAGGTCCCATTCATATAGCCGGTCCAGAAGCTACACCTACTCTTCCAGGTTGGTTACAACAGACAATGTTTTATGACTTTGTATGTCCAATCGTCCATGTCAAGTCAAGTTTGCATGTTTTAATTGTTCACACAGGAGCTACAGTAGAAGTAGAAGCAGGAGTAGATACAGCAGAGGACACTCCCGTTCCCGAAGTAGCACCTACCGAAGTTACCGTAGGTAAGTGTTGAAAGATATTTATCTTTGATATGTGTGTTATGGGGATTAAAATGTTTTTAAATTAAGATGCCACGGTGATCTTGTTTTAGCCACACAGACCGTAGAAGTCGTTCTAGAAGTCGGTACAGAGGTCACCACAGATCAAGGTGAGCATGGAGCCAAAATTATTCATGCATTTTGACTGCAACCTAGTGTCGCTTTATTATTCTTAGTTATGTCTTTTGTTCCTGGAAATACAGGTCTGACTCTTACGATAGTTCTTCTAGCCGTAGCAGGAGAAGAGGGCATCGAAGAAGTGAGAGCTCTGACCGCATGTCCAGGTACATCATAAATAAATCCATGTATTATTGAAACTGTCTTGTTTGAATTTGATAATGTGCCTCACTGAAGCTAATTCTTTGATGTGTGTCTTCACGTTCAGGTCATATCGCTCCTACAGTCGCAGTTCCTCTAGGAGGCGAAGTCATAGCCGAAGCAGTCGATACAGCTGAGCTGATTTTAAGATGTAGCATTAAGTCTCCTCCTCCTCCATATGGTTTTCTAAACGAATGGCTCCGTTTAAGTTTGGTGAAGTATGTACTTTGATGTACACTGTATAATCATTTAATGTGTAATTCACACACATTCTGCTGTATTTTTTCCAAATGTGTCTATGTATGAATGTACATTTGAAACAAAATTAGTCACTTCTTTATTCTAGTACACTTTTTTTTTTAGTATCCCTAAGAAAAGGAGCATAGTGCTATGCATTTGCTAAGGCATTCTGGGCTGTTTTAAAGAGTTGCTAATGGGTTGCTAGGGTGTTCTGAGATGTTGCTTACTGGCCCAAATCAAAAGAAGAAAATGTGAGAGGGACTGACCATACAAACCCTTCCGCCACGTTTCTAGGGTGTTGTGGATGGTTGTCAGGGTGTTGCTATACAGTTACTAAGGTATTCTGAGTGTTTTTAGTGTGCTCATAAACAGTTTCTAGGGTGTTCTGGGTGGATGCTTAATGGTCCAGATCAAAGAAAGAAAATGTGAGTTGGATTGACCAAAAAAAACTTGCCTACTTGTTTCTAGAGAGTTGTCAATGGTTGCCAGGCTGTTACTATGCGGTTGTCAAGATATTTTGAGTGTTTATAGCATGCTTTCATGCAGTTGCTAGGGTGTTCTGGGTGGTCACTTGCTTGACCATACAAATCCTGCTTGACCATACATATCCTGCTGTCACGTTTCTAGGGTGTTGTGAATGGTTGTCATAGCATTACAATGCAGTTGCTAAGGTATGCTGAGTGTTTTAGCATGCTTTCATGCAGTTGCTAGGGTGCTCTGGGTGGTGGTCGCTTACTAGTCTGGATCAAAAGAAGAAAATGTGATTGGGATTGACTATACATAAACCACTGCCATGTTGTTACTGGGTTCTGGATTGTTGCTAAGGCATTGCTATGCAGCTGCTAGGGTAAAAACTAGTGTTTTTAAGCTTGTTGTTATGTGGTTGCTAGGGTGCTCTGGGTGATTGCTTACTGGTTAAGATCAAAAGAATAAAACGTGAGTAGATTTGACCTTACAAAACATGTTGCTAGTGTTGTGGATGGTTGCCAGGACATTGCTATGCAGTTGCTAAGGTGTTCTGAGTGAGTTTTAACAAGTTGTTATGTGGTTGCTAATGGGTTTTGGATAGCAGCTTAATGGACCAAATAAAAAGAGCCTATTCCCAAATCTGTATGATATTCTGGTCTCTAAATATGAATTGAGTCTCTTCCGCAATGTATGTCTTTAATTTGAAAAATAATACAGTAGCACACCTCTGTAGCGTCGGCGTAGAATCATGCATGATCTTTGGGGTTTTATGGCTTAAGAGACCCTTTTAGCCTTTTGACATTTGCATATAAATTACAGTTCTGGTCAGAGACTTTACGTTTGGATGGGGGTCTAAATTGCCAAATGGTCTCAACAATCTGCATCATCTGAGGTATCATTCACATCTGTAGCACAAATGTGTGGGAAGGATCATGCAGCAAAGTTCAAAGCTCAAAATTTTAGAAATATGAGCTATAATAATATTGATGCTTGCCTTAGCAAGCATCTATAAAAACAGTCGATTGGAGTGTAGGATGTTCTGTGTCTGTGAGTACTTTATCCATTCACCACAGATCTGTCACTTTAAGAGCCGCATGGATCCAATTTACTGTTACACAAGTATTTTCATTCTCAACTCTTTACATTCATTTATTACATAACTGACGAGGGTTTACGTGAATAATCACTAAGTGCCGCATTTTGACATATTTTTGTGTGTATTTCACCATTTAGGCGCTAAAAGATGACTTTACATGTCCGTGTTGTATTCCGTCTCTGAGCGCATACACAGTAATGTTCCCGAGGACGTAGTGTTGTCAAAAGACCCGGTACTTTGGTACCAAGTCGGTACTAAAAAATGAAACCGTTACGGTACTATACGGTACTAACCGTTTTTTTAAGTACCGGTGGTACCGAGTACCCGGTCAACCCGGTTCTTGATGCGCTATTCGAAAGGTGCGCAGATGCGCTCTCTTCATAAAAGCACCGAGACATGGCAACCTCAAAATGAGGAAACACATCAAACTAACAAAACACTTTAAAGACAGACACCTGGATGAAATGAAAGAGTTGAAGCAGGTAAGTTTCATTTTAATTTTTAATATTTAGATCTTCTGTTATGAATATTATTCCATATTTTAATTTAAATGTCAGATTGAAATAAACATCGCCGTTAGCGTAGTTAATTGTTAGCATAAGTGCGGCTGTTTTCTATACATTGATTTATTTGTGGCGCCCGCCACAATATCAAAACTCACTGCCACAAATAGATTTTCCAAAAGGCTTTGACTTCGTTGAATAAACATGAGCACTGCACGAAAGTTGAAACCCAGTGTGGGTGTTTTCATATCACTGTATTTCTGAAGGAAACCGACTGTCTTCAGAAAATTATGGATGTCATTTTCATTTCATCTTGCCTGTAATGCCTGAGCAGCGTTTGTAAGCTGAGCGCTGCTTTGTGTACAGCTGTTACTGGGGAAACCTCTATCTCTCCCGCTCTACAAGCGCCTCCTGCTGCCAAAGAATTAATTTGCATATATATGGCGCAACAAATAGAGTGCAAGTCTGTGACAAACACCGCTTCTGTTATGAATATTATTCAGTTTTTTTTTATTTGAATGTCGGATTGAAATGAACATCGCTGTTATTAGTGTAGTTAATCGTTAGCATAAGCGTGGCTAACGCTAATATAGTGATCATTAGAATGAAGTTTCTTTATTAACTATTTAAAGGGGTCATATGATGTTGCTAAAAGGAACATTATTTTGTGTATTTGGTGTAATGAAATGTGTTTATGCGGTTTAAGGTTAAAAAACACATTACTGTCCATTATTGTTTCTCCTGTATGCCCCGCCTTTCTGAAACGCGCCGATTTTTACAAAGCTCATCGGTCTGAAAAAGCGAGGTGTGCTGTGATTGGCCAGCTATCCAGTGCGTTATGATTGGCCGAATACCTCAAGCGTGTGACGGAAATGTTACGCCCCTACCATATTGTGATGATGCCCTGTCAGGTCGGAGCGATGATTCAAAA